AATAGTCAGAATTAGTCCAAAATAAGACACAGACTTCCTACGGTGATGTTGGCGTGTCTACCTGGTGATGTCGTCTTTAAACATTTTAACATTCATATTTACACAAAGATCAGCTGAACGTTCCTTTCTGACCCAGATTTAAGACGTCTCTCCCTCCTGAGACCAACTGCGCTGCATTAAAACGTCTTTTAACCGTCAGATCGACAGTAAATTACTCAGCGGGAGCCAACAGCTTTACAGGCTGCTGTGACTCCTGGTTGCTACGGAAACACGCTCATTTACAGCATCATAAACCGCCTCCATCGCCACGGCAACGTCTGGTCGCAGCGGGGCGAATCAGCCGAGCAGGTGGCAGATGGAGGCGGTCCTAGAGACGGCAAGCTGCCCTGATTGGATCCATCCTTACCTCTTGGCCCCGCCCACTATGTTTGACTGATAGGACTTGGGCGGAGTCTGGGCGGAGGTCAGCTGACTGACCTGGCCCGGTTCTGTTCTGGTTTATGGTGTTTTTATTGAGTCTGTTAGCCTCTGATAGCTTCTCATAGCTTCGGTTAACTTCTCATAGCTTCGGTTAACTTCTCATAGCTTCTGTTAGCTCCTATTAGCTTCTCTTTGATTAGCTTNATTGATTCATTTAGTGCAGAAGAAGAGTCACGTGATGCGTTGAACGCCTCCTTTAATGTGAACAGAGTCTGAAGCAGGAGGTCTGAGTTGATGAAGTAAGTTGAACCACCTTCATGATACCTGTGATCTCTGCCTGGAGCTTTGGTTTTGTCGAACCGACTTACACACAGAAAGTCTGGATATGTCAAACCTGCTTCATAGAACAGAAAGTCAGACACAAAACAACCTAAAACTGACGTTAAAAAATAAAAAATAAATAAAAATAGATGCTAATCTATAAAATGCAAAAACAGACACAGAATGACCAGAAATTGATGCAAAACAACCAAAAACTGACACAAACTTAACAACTTCTGCAGCTTTCATAAGTTCCCTCATTAAGTATGTTTTGCTGATTGTTTTGTGTCTGTTTTGGTGACTGAACTCGTCATGAATCCGGATCTGAAGCTCAAACTTTGTCAACAAGTTTTTAATGAAGAAACTGAACAGCTAACAGAAGCTAATAGAAGCTAACAAAAGCTTATAGAAGTTAAGTTCATAGAAGCTAACAGAAGGTAATAGAAGTTAATAGAAGCTAATAGAAGCTAACAGAAGCTAATAGAAGCTAACAGAAGCTAACAGAAGCTAGTAGAAGCTTATAGAAGTTAAAAGAAGCTAACAAAAGCTAACAGAAGCTTATCGAAGTTAAGTTAATAGAAGCTAACAGAAGCTATTACAAGCTAACAGAAGCTTACAGAAGCTAACAGAAGCTAGTAGAAGCCTATAGAAGTTAACAGAAGCTAACAAAACCTAACAAAGCTTATAGAAATTAAGTTCATAGAAGCTAACAGAAGCTAACAGAAGCTAACAGAAGTTAACAGAAGCTAATAGATGCTAAGAGAAGGTAGCAGAAGCTAACAGAAGCTAACAGAAGCTAACAGAGGCTAACAGGAGGGAACAGAAGCTAATAGAAGCTCAGGGATGAGTAGTTCAAGGACTGTTAAAAAAATGAAAATCTGACAACTGTGTCAGTTTTCACAGTTTCTGGCTGATAAATGGAGCCGTTTGGTGATTTCTTAAATTAAAAAAGAAGTGTTAATTAAAAGAGAGCTAAATGGTGTCATTTTAAACATCTGATTTTAATTTCTATGGCTGTTGGAATGATGTTAACGTAGCAGTTCAGTGTGATCTAGACGTCTGAAGCAACCTGAATGGTTCCAGTGAGGCCTTTAAGCTCCGCCCCTTTAAAGGTGTGTTCAGTTTGATAACGTCCTGCGTGGATCTGTGATATAACCTCACCTTGTGTAAGCGTCCTAAATCTGACAGACAAAGAAACCCAAAGCGGAGGTTTGTGAGCACATGTGGGCTCAGCGGCCACAGCTTTCATAAGGGTGGTTCAGGCTGTGGTTCACGGCCAAGAGGAGGCCACGAGGGACACAAACAAGGCCCAGGATTCACCGTGACGGAGGTTGGAGGGCAGATGGAAGCTGGCAGCGCTGCTGCAGCTTCAGGTAGCGACGATAAGCAGCTCCTGGTCGTAGAGAACCTAAACCAACCGGGGCTTTGTGACGGTTTAACGGCGCCGGGCCGAGTGACAGCAGCTCTTATGAAAGTGTTCCCTCCACTGATGTTGGAGTGAAGCCGGCCAAAACCAGACCTGCTGTAATTGTTGGTCACGATGGGGAATATTTTCGTCTCCTTGGAGTGTGAGAGCTGTCACGTCCACACAAACACCCCGGAGAGGCAGCAGCTCACGTTAAAGTCCAACAAACACGTCCAGGTTCCATTAAATACACTAAAGTCAGTCGATTCTGAGGAGGTCGGACGGAACCAACCGGGTCCTGCACTGGTTAGCATTGCTGCTAAAGTAGCTGCTGTGGTGGTTGAACTCAGCTCAGGTGTGCTGGTCGAGGATTTCTGGCTCCGCCCTCACCTGTCCTCTCGCCTCTTTGCAGCTCAGAAGTGTTTAAAACTCGACACCTGATCTGAAAAGCAGCTTGATGGAGATTTATTCCTTCTGCTCGTGGATCAAACACAAAACAAAGTGAGTCCAAACTCTGGTTTTCTGCTCAGCTGTAGCTGAACACGTGTAGAAGCAGCTGCTGCGTCTTCAGAAGCTGCAGCTTAAGCTGAAGCAGCTGCTGAGATCATGAAACCCTGCAGAGATCACACTCTCTGAGCTTTCACTGGAACCCGCTACAGGCCGGATGTAGCTGTAGTTCAGCTGAAACCTGCTGATGTTGTTTAACCAGAGAGTCAGAATGGCGAGACCAGGTTCCAGTTTTACTCTGTTTTGACTAGAAAGTCGTCCGAAATGGTTAAAAATGTGTCCAAAATAAGACCTAGACAGTCCATAGTGACTTGAAACCTGCTGAAAATGCCCAAATTATCCAAAATGACAATTTTTGGTCCTTGAAAATAGAAAAAAAGTGCAACATTTTTAAACAACGGTGGTATTATGTCCCCAGAAAATCCATGTTTCTACTAAATCCAGTCACATTTCACCACCTGTTGAGGCTCTAACACCATCAAATCTGATATTTAGCAAATATAACAAGACAAGGTCCCAGTTTTTAGATATTTCACCCTAAAGTTTGTCCAAAATTACTCAAAATCTTTACGAAAATACTCAAAATTGTCCCAAATTAGCACAAATGTGTCCAAAATGTTTTGAAAATTTGCCATAAACTCCTGTAAATGTGTCCAAAATGAGTAGAAATGGGTCCAAAATACAACAAAGACTGAACAAAGTGACTTGAAACCTGCCGAGAACTGTTCAAAATGACAGTAATAAATAATTATCGGCCTTTAAAAACGTCCAACCAGGCTGGTGTTGATCCAGAAGGTTCCTGTCAGTCTCTATCTATGGATGGATCCATGGTTCTACTAGAACCCAGTCTCTGGTCACATCTCACCACCTGTTGAGGCTCTAACATCAGCAGAACCTGATGTGGTGAAGATGGACCAGACCAGGTTCTGGTTTTAGACTTGAAACCTGCTGAGATGACTGAAGATGTGTCCTAAATGACAACAGATGGGCCCATAATAGGATAGTTGGTCCAGAGTGACTCTGAATGACTCCAAAATAGTCAGAATTAGTCCAAAATAAGACACAGACTTNAGCTCATTTCGAACACGTTAACTGTCCGGATGCCATAAAGCTTCACAGTAGTCTTTGTCATGGTGGCCCTACATACACATAAATTTCTATGATGGCACACAGAGAACATTTTGGGGTTTAGCTAATAAAGAGGCACCACACCAAAGACTTCTGTATTTTTACTCAAGCAGAAATCTAAATGCAGCATTGTCCTATTGGTACTTTTATGTAAGTGACGGTGTGAGTATGTTAATATTAAATATGAATAATTTCCTTCCCACAGCGTGCGGCGGAGGCTACGCCGAGCCGGACATCACCCAGTGCACACCGCACCAGTGTTTCCATAGCAACGCACCGCACTACGCCGAGACAGACATCGTGCGGCTGCAGGGCGTCACCGGCAGCAACATGTACGCCGTCCCCGCCCTCACCGTGGACTCGCTCACCAGGAAGGACATCTCCGCCGCCGAGTTCCCACGGCAACAGCTAATCTTCAGGGAGAAGCTGGGGGAGGGGCAGTTCGGAGAGGTGAGGCGGTGGCAGGAAAAGAAGGCGTCGGAATGTCCGGCGAATAGAAACACTCACGGGTTCTGGTTCTGTTTAAAGGTCCACTTGTGCGAGGCCGAAGGACTCCCGGAGTTCCTCGGGGAAGGATCGCCACTGCCGGACCAAGACGGACACTCGGTGCTGGTGGCGGTTAAACAGCTGAGAGCCGACGCCACCAGCCAGGCCAGGTAATGACTACCGGTATACCGACTGCCTTCATTGGTCCTGACATCCTGAAAGCAAACCCTAAAGCACTTCCTCTCCCTTCACGTGTCTCTTTATTAGAAACGACTTCCTGAAGGAAATTAAAATCATGTCTCGGTTGAACGACCCCAACATCATCCGGCTGCTGTGCGTTTGCGTTTCGTCCGACCCGTTGTGCATGGTGACCGAGTACATGGAGAACGGAGACCTCAACATGTTCCTGTCGCAGCGGGAGATCGAGAGCACGCTGACCCACGCCAACAACATCCCGTCAGTCAGGTTCGTACATCCTGTTTCTAGCGGTCTCGATCAACACTTTACCTTTTGTTGAAGGAATTCACCCATAGTCCTCATGTGAAGTTTGCTGTAGTGGGGTGTTTATTAGTATTCCGGTATAGGGTGGGCGTACCAACACAGAGTCTGTAAAGGTATGCCAAGCCAGAACATTTTCAGAGTCAAACATTTAATGCAGTTGTTCAGACAGTTGGGAGGGGACAGGATGTAAATACAGAAAACAACAGTGATTGGTTTGTATATAGTTGCTAACAAAAGGTGATTGAGCTAAGGGGTCTGGCAGACAACCAAAAGTAAAGGGCTTATCAATAACAATGGTAATTCAATTGAATTCAATTTTATTTGTATAGCTCAGTTTACAACATATGTCAACACATAGTGCTTAACAAGGTAAGATATAGACCTTACAAATTTAAACAGAGAACCCAACAATCCAAAGTAGTCTTTGGACTCCCTCTGAGCAAGCGGTTGGCAACGGTGGGAAGGAACCAAAAACGAGTGACACTAGGGGTAGGGGGTGTCAAAAGATATGCTGTTTTCTTCATCACCTTCATTCCCGTCACTTCTTTCTGTTTCTGCGCAGTCTGTCCGACCTCCTCCACATGTCGGTGCAGATCTCGTCAGGGATGAAGTACCTGGCGTCCCTGAACTTTGTGCACCGCGACCTGGCCACCAGGAACTGCCTCCTGGACCGCCGCCTCACCATCAAGATCGCAGACTTCGGGATGAGCCGGAACCTGTACAGCAGCGACTACTACCGGATCCAGGGTCGGGCGGTGCTGCCGATCCGGTGGATGGCCTGGGAGAGCATCTTATTGGTAAGAGTTAGAGTAAGATAGGAGTAAAGTATATGACTTACGCTTGATACTGGTTAGCTGTTGTCCCCTGACACCTGTTCCTGATGATGATAGTGGCTTCAAAGTGAAACCAAAAGGTGTTTATCCTCGAACAGTTTCAGGATGAGTCTGCTGACATGTTAGAGATGCAACAGGTTTAATCTACATGTCACCTCTCACCAGTTAGGTTTGTGTTTTTGTAGAAACGTGTGCACTTGAAAATGACCTCTGAAAGTTTGCATGTCTATTAGCACAGATCTTCCTGGAAACTGTTTAGAAGCTAAATCATGTTCTTTATTAATGCTGTTTCTGATTACCTCTTTTATGTCAGGTAATGAATGGTCTTAGATGTTTTATTCTAATTGCTTATTCTTAAGATTTTGCAGGTTTGTCACAAGTTTGTACAGGACTTTTTTTGACAGATGAACATATAGTCTGATGGTAGCACCCCCTAAACACTGAACATGGTCAGTGTTGTCTTTGCTGAAGGGTGTTCTGCATCGACAGAGAACCTTGTAGATCTAAGACGACGGTTTCTGGAGACCAAACTTAAAACTTGCGCCGACTCTCTGCAGGGAAAGTTCACCACAGCCAGCGACGTCTGGGCGTTCGGAGTCACCCTGTGGGAGATCTTCACCCTGTGCAAGGAGCAGCCCTACAGCCTGCTGTCCGATGAACAGGTCATAGAGAACACTGGCGAGTTCTTCAGGAACCAGGGCAGACAGGTGAGGCGAATCGAATGCACCCACACCACAGAGCAGGCCGGGTTTGTTCTTCTTCCATCTCTGGGGCCAAATGACTTTGGACACTTTAGATACTCGACAGTTAAGCACCTTATGGTAAAGTCACTTCTATCAAGCTCCACTAGGGGGAGCTGTTTGGTCAATACTGCATCAGATTTATTCTGTCCAACCTCACCTACAGCAGAGCTAACAAATCTGGAAATCAATACCCTCTGAGTGATAGAAGATAAATCTGTAGTGTAGTCCTCAACGTTTCTCTTTTTTTCTGGCTGAAAGGACAATTGTAGCTGTTGGTGCCTTAGAGAGGAATCTGCTTTGTCGTCATGACTCAGACACATATGCAACTAGTACAATTACTTTCAAGGGTTATGTGACAAATATTTTGGAAACTGCTGACCTGCAGGATGGTAGAATCACTTGTGTTTGTTTTTGGGAAATTCGTCCTTGGTCATTCTAACATTTACCATTTCTGTCACCGTGACTAGAGATGGTAACGATTAAGTCTCAGTTTATTCATTTCCTTTAATAATTTACTTCAATAAAACTAAATGAACCAATCAGGCAGAGGACAACGTATTTTAAGTTAGCTGTTTACTGTTTAATCCAGTGGAGTTACATGTGCTGACCGCCCGTAAGAGTCCGTAAAACAAGTGCACCTCCCTGCTGTCCGACTGATTTACATGCCGGTATCTTCCCACCAGATCTTCCTCTACGGCCCTCCGCTCTGCCCGCCTTCCCTCTTCGAGCTCATGATGCGATGTTGGAGTCGCGACATCCCCGACCGGCCCACCTTCGAGGGCCTCTACCAGGCCCTGAGGCCCCATGTCAGCGGGTGAGCTGCCGGGTCGCACCGGTCCGGTTCTCCTCCTCGGCACCGACGGGGGACTCTCGTTAGAAAACACGAGAACACCGAGGACTGGAATCGTGTCGCACCGCCGGAGAGGACGAGGAGAGTCGGGAGGTTGGTTTGCTTTCTGTTTCGGAGAGCTGGAGGAAGAACAAGCTGGTCGACTCAGAGGAGAAACAAACCTTTCAGTCCGTAGATTTCTCAGCTTTCTACAAAAATCTCTTGTCGGACCTTTTTAAAAAGTTGCCTTAAACTTCACTTTCCTCCACTCTTTGGATGCCAAAAACTGGACGGACGTTTCAGTCTTGGCAGTTCCTCCTGTCCCTGTGGTTTTTATTATTAATATTAATATTGTTGTAAAGCACTGTGTCTGTGTCTCTCAGTTATTCATATATTAACCCACACTGGAGTTAGGGCTAGGGTCAAACCGTAGTGTAGGACTTTAGATTTTTATTCTATTTTATTTTTCTTGTTTTATGGTATTTCACTTTTGTCGGTCTTTGTGTTTTTTGTGGATATGAATGTCGTTGAAACCTGTGTGCTTCGCGGACTGGAAGCCAGTCGGTGGGTAACCGTGGGAGAGAGTCTGGAGCGGAGGGCGAATCGAAACCACATAAGTGCCGTTTTTGTTGCCAAAGAGAAAGAATAGAATTGTAAAAAGTCATCCTCGCGAACGGACTGTCGGTCGGCGGATGCTTTTCTCCAAAGTGCCTTACGTTTGTAGCATGAGCGGTACCGGGAGGAAGGTTCGGGTCACCTCGACGGCACCAGTTCCGCTGGAGGAGAGATTAACCGTCTGATGCCAAAGTGTCATTCAACCTGCAAAATACGCAGCATGAGTTAGCATTAGCATTAGCAACATTTTCCACGGCAGGAACTCAGAGGCTGGTTTAGGGCGAACCGGGCTGTTTCTGTAGAACCATTTTCAGGGGAGAAACCGGTACCAATCAAAGTTAAGTACTTCTGGGCGACCTTTGGACTGGTTCAGCTCAGACAGGACAGCACCATGTCCTCTTCCTGTAGCAGTCTTTTCCATTTAAACGTAGCCTTTAGCGTACCACATCAGCTATCATAACAAACCTCCATTGGTCTGTTTCCTACATGCTCGTAGAACAGGAATTAAACTGGAATAATCTAGAAAAGCCTCCCTCTATCCCAGTATCTGACTGTATGGTGTTGTAGAAGGGGCAGGCAGTTCCATGTTGGCAGCAGAGAGCATTGTGGGAGTTCAGCTAGCAGTGTTGACCTCTGGTATAAACTCCCGTTAAGGTCAAACAAGGATTAGCAGGACGGTATTCCAGTGGCGTATGTGTCAGAGAAGACTTTAAGACAGCAAAGTGAGCACAGGACAAACGTTCACCGTCATCAGTTTGTGTTATTTATCACTGATTGACAATGTGGCTGATTATTGATAAAGAAAGTTATTAAGAATTAGCATCCCTAGCATCCTGCCACATACTGGATTCTGCCTTTAGGACACCTGTGTGACAGCCTCGACTGGGACATCCCAGCTAGCAACTGTTGAATAGAAACTAAAAGGCTGACTGGGCCAACGCCACCTCACACCTTCCACAAATTCCAGCAGTGGAAAGCCGCCTGTTTTCCTAACTTTCTATTTTCCTAATTTCGTAAAAACGGATCGTCCTGGTTTACTTTGGTTTTTCCACATCGGAGTTTGGAAGTTTCAAGTTTTTAATTTGGTGTCAAATGCAGAAATAAGATGAAAGAATACGAGACATCGAGGCGTTCGACACCAAACGCTTCAACGTGATGCAAACGAACCGTTACAGTGCGATGATGAGTCAAAGTGGTGAAGAGTGTTCGTCATGTTTTGGGTTATTTCATGAAAAATCAATCAGAGCCTCCAACAGACCTCAGAATCAGCTGGTTCTGTATCTGCAGCACCTTTATCTACTGACCAGAGTTCTACCTTCAGACTGTGAATGTTCCAGAGGTCCAGGTCCTTGAAGTCCACAGAGGAGGGTCCAGATTGATCACTTTAATGGACTTTGTCCATCATTTCTGAGCCTCAGAACTTCATCAGTACAGCAGATAGACACATGACATTTAGGAGGAAGAACACATCTGGGTTCTGCTAGAACCTGACACCAGATCAGTTTTGGTCAGAACAAGTTCTAGCAGATCAAAGGTTTCATTGTTTTCCTACATTTTGATAAGAGGCTCATCTTCTGGCTACGATTCGTATTCTCTGGTTTACAGTCACTTTGTACAAGTTTCAAGACATTTTGGACGTTTTAAATTGTTCAGGACGAGTTTTGAGTAGTTTTGGAGAAGTTTCAATATGTT